CATCCCGAATACACACAATACACATACGCACATGTAGCTGAAAGGACGTTATTGTGTTTTTTTTTTTATTCATATATGTATATATACAAATATATATATATATTTAAACATACATATGTACTGTGCGTTTCGTTGTTTTCACTTTCATCTTATTTTTTTATACATATTTTTGTTGTTTTCTTTGTGTTTGATATTGTTTTTTGTTTGTTTGTTTGTTTGTTTGTTGATGATATCGCGGATAGTATATTTGTTGCTTGTAACAAGGCTCAACAACTCAGGACTTTTACAACAAATAGTCAGTATAAGAATACACACACACACACATGTGCTTAAATGTATTTGTGTGTGTGCATGTGTGTGCGTGTAACTAGATGAACGCCGTTAAATACCTCGCAAAATAAACCAAGCCAAGAATAAGCCCCAACTCAGGAATCGGCAACCGGAATCGTGAAATTACCGTTAACAGGTAAGCGACAAGTGACAAGTGACAATCTTAACTAAGCATAAGCCACAGATATATCTATATACAGTTATATATATGCGCAAACTTTCGCTTTTTAATGCTGCCAACTAGGAATTGGGACGCTCCATAGGGCAATTATGGAATTGGGGAACGAGGGAACCGTAGAGTATTAAGTGAAATGGTCGTCAGGCCAGACAGCCAGCCCGACACACACATACACAGACAAAGAGCGAAAGAGAAGGGTAGAGAGTAGAAAAAGAGAACATGTAGCGAGCCGTCTGTCTACTATTTGAGGCTGTTTAGTTTGGGGCGACCGAGACCCCAAGCCCGAGACCCTGAATGCAGCCAAAGACCGGTATGCATGCACACACACACACACAGACTCACACTCGCACTGACACTCACACTAACAACGCACACACACACACACACACTCACACGCATGTGCATGCATGCACAGGCAGACATGAACAGATGCACAGATGCACACAAAGGTGACGTAATGGCAACTACTCCACTAACACATTTTTCTACATTCCTGCCGCAACCAAGCTCTGTCCCTCTGCGTCCGTCTCTGCGTCCATCGGTTCGTCCGTCTATGCGCCTGTGGCGGCAGCGTGAAGACGGGAAAAACTGAATGAAAATTGCAGCGAACGTAGCACATGCCCTGGCCTAGCGCATAAAGAGAAGCAAAAAGAAGAGCAGCAAAAAAAGCAACAACTAGGAGACGGCGGGACGACGCAGCCAGACAGCTAGAGTGTGAGTGAGAGTGTGCGAGAAAGAGAGAGAGAGACAAGTTATTGGGGCTGAGGATGCTAGGCAAATGGCTGTGGCTGTGGCTACTGTTTGCTGTGCAACTGCGTAGAGGGCACTAGAAAGCGTGTGTGTGTGCGTGTGTCAATCTGTGTATGTGTGTGTGTGTATGTGTGTGAGTGCGTGTGCAAGTGCCCGACATTCAAGGTTGACGGCACACAACTTGTTTTCTTGTTATTGTTTTTGCTGTTGTTGCTGTTATTGTTATGGTTTTTTATATCTGTCTGTCTGTGTGTGTGTGCCTGAGCTTGTGCTTGTTTTAGTTTCAGTTACAACAAAGCAAAAAGCCAAAAGGCAAAAAGCAAGCGCAATCGCAAACGCAATATGCAGTGAAGCCAATTTCCAGGAACACTGCAACAACAACAACAGCAGCAAAGATGAGGGGCGAAAGAAAGAAAGAAAGAAGGAGAAAAAATGTAACAGTAAAATTGAAGCCACAAGTCACAGCGGAAGCCTTCGTAAGGCTTCGCCGTCTCTGCTATTGCTCCCTCGCTCTCTCCCTTTCCCTCTCTATCTCTGTCTCTCTCTTGCTCCCTGCGCTGCCAGCGAAATTGAGCTGTTATTTACAGTTAATCAAAATGACAGAAGTCGGTCGCTGCCATTATTGCCTATGTGTACATGTCTCTCTGTGTCTCTCTTTCTCTCTCTCGCTCTTTCTCTTTAAGTTTGTGAGTAATTAGAAGTGCCCGCCCTTTTTGGCTGTATAGCCGCCGTCAACACTTCCGCTGGCCTTGAGAGACAATAAAACAATAAATAAACTAACAGCAACTGGCTTCAATTGAAGGGCAGCCAGCCAGTAGTAGGGGGACAGCCATAGAGAGAGAGAGAGCAAATGGAGCCGTCGTCTTTACTTAGCTCTACAGACGGATGACTCAGCAATAGGTCGCGCAGACACACACACACACATAGACATGAATGCATGCTTGCATATGCATGTAAAGTTCTAGCAAAGTCTACGCACACACACACACACACACACACGCACTGATAATGACGATGCCTTCAATTCATTCCAAGGCCGCATTCACGGGCAGGCGAGAATTGCAAAATGCAACAAAACAGAGTAGATAGACAAGTGCGAGGGTCTGCTGTCTGGCGCTGCAGACGGAGGAGTGGGGGCTGCAGCTTGTTGTCGCGGCTTCCATTCTCGGAAACGGTTACGCCAAGGCCACACAATGAATAAGCAACAAGCAGCAGAGCGGGAATTGACAAACGAACTTCGCATAGACCACTAAATGTTGCTAAAGGCGTAGCCATAGCCGAGATAATAAATATACATACATACACATACTTTTATACATACATACATGCATAGACGTAAAGAAAAGAGAAATAATAACTGTACCCGATAAGTCAGCACAGGCTCTTCTTCGACTCGTTGGCTGACCCCAGCTCCAACACGAGCGAAAGCGAGACGGAAGTTGTTGCAATTTTTTATACATGTATATTTTGTGCTGCTTTTCTCTGATTCCTCTTTCTCTTATTACTATTCTTAGTCTTTGCTCACTCAGTCAGTCAGTTGGTCATTGGTGTCATGTGCATAGCTCACGCTGTCTCCTTCTTCGTTCCTCTTTCGCCGGCATTCCTCCTGGCCTAGTCTCGTGGCGAAGCGATTCGAGTCTCAGTTTACATCATTGCCACGGCGAGGGTATCTTAACGCCGCCCCCTCCCCCCACCTCCTGCTCCTGCCGTTCCTTTATTTTTTGTGTGTGCTTTATGCATATGGATTGTAATATGAGCTGTGTCTTATATTAGTAACGGTAAACACAGGCTTCTCGTTGACCATGTGGCGTATACGTAACACATGCGTTATTTACTAGAAAATGCGATTGACAGACAGGCAGGCAGGCAACGTACGAAAGAGAGAGACAGAGATAGAGAGACGGGCAGAAGTTAAGCAAGTCAGCAAATCAAATGATCATTGAACTCGTTCACACTCAGCAATGCATTGATCTAACTCTCTCGCTCTTGCACACGCCATCGGGCTCATAACGGCATTTGGCGCACCCAAAATGCAAAGCCTTAAACTCAAGAATAAGTCACATGGCGCTGTATACATGCATACACATATATATATATATATATATATATATATATATATAACCATTAGTATGTATGCGTCTGCAAAAAATATATGTTAACTATAGCTTAAGCACTACGACTATAAATATATATAGAGAGAGCGAGTGGGAAAGAGAGAACCGGTCATAGTCATCCACTCCATTCGATTCCCCTTCCCCACATACACAAACACACACACATATGCATACATATATACATGAGTACGAATGATCGTAGTCGCCGATTCATTTCCATTTCCCAGTGTCGACTGCGAGCGCATATTTTTGCTCGAACACATTTTTATCTAATAACCTTGTGCAATGTTATTAAACCCAAAAAGTTTCTTAACCTCGCCGGCAGCGGCAGCAGAATCGCAGCAGCAGAGCAGCAGCAACAACGGCAGCGCAGCTGCGCGCCGAACAGCTTTTGATGTGAAATGCTAATACGCGTACTCTCTGCGTTTGTATGCAAGCCACACACACGCACACACATACACTAGCGAGCAAATAATCAACGACAACGCACAAAGCTTTAAAAAATAGCCCGCTCACTAATACAAATGCACCTCCGACTGCATATGCACACAGGCGACAATTCGGTCGACGTCGTGTAGAAGTTAACATATGGGGAGCGGGGGGAGCCTACTTGAGGCCTACATGAGTACATATGTATATATATACATATATATATATATATATATTTTCGTATATGTGTCAATTGAATACAATTCTTGTAGCGAGTAGGAGTTTGCTTATTTGTGCAGAAATTCGCAAACATACATATCTGAATATGTATGTAACGCATACATATGCATGTACAAGCATATATATGTACATACACCGAAAATGAGAGCGCTGCGTAAATTGCAAGGCAAATAAGCAAATGCCATGTAATACGAATTAAATTGTGAATAAATGTGTGTATACATACACACATGCATCTATAGACGCATGTATACACACATACACACAAAAGGATTGTGAAGGCAAAGAGCGCGCGCAGCTAGGGAGAGAGAGAGCGAGAGAGTGCAGGCAAGACCAATGCGCAGCTAACTTTTGTTTTAGCTTTTACTCTCGCACACACACACACTGTGAGAACTGTATTTGTGTTTTTTTTTTTTGGGTGCTGTTTTGCAAAGCATTGCGTTGTAGGCTTTTGTTCATGCCAGCAATTCGTGTAAGTGTGTGTCTGTTTGAGTGTGTGAGTATATGTATGTAGTTATTTTAAACTTAAATGCATTTTCTCAACTGGCAAGAAATTTCGCCAGCTCTGCATTACTTTTGAAAGTGCCTTCTTGCTTTTTGTGGGCCACACGACGACTGCGAAATGCTGCGCCAGCAGATTAACGGTCCTTCGATTGTGGTTAGTTTGCTTTGCATACATACAAACATGACGTAAATTATATAAGTAGAGAACGATAGAGCTAATTGGAAAACAAGTTTAAGTGCGAAAGTAAGTAACTCGAACTCCAGTTAAAAGCATTTCTCTACCTCGATTTTGAATTCCATTTAGAAGCGTTAAAGCCAATGCAATTGACTAAATTTATAAGTAGATTTCGATTTCGAGTTCGAGCATTGCACAGTGGCTTACAACTGATAACATACAAGTGCATGTATTTATATATTTAACATATGAACAGTGCAGTTTATGTATATATATTCACCTCTATGCAGCTTCAATATACATCCAGTTATATAGATGGCTCCCATTTGTTGGGTGTAATTCGCAGTTCAATGCTCAGTGGTGGGGAGCTTCGCACTGTTGAGGCCAATAACTGATTGCCTGCTGCTGCGGTCGTTGGGGGGACGGCGGTTATCTAAGGGGTCCCAGATAATGGAGCTCGGCGCACTCTGATTTTTGTTACACTTTTTCGCTAGCGAAACTGGGCGGGGGTGGAGGCGGGGGCGGCGTCGTTACTTGTGATCTGCGGGCCGTTGAACGGGTGTGCGAACGTCGCGAGTTCAAAGCCCTCGCATCGCGAGCGACGACGACGACAGCAGCAGCGACTGTGACGACGAAAAACCAAAAAAAATACAAAATAATGAATTCACTTCACCTTTGCCACACTTTCATTGCGATATTGCAATATATGCTTGGAATATGGACATTTTTCTTTAGCATATCTCATTTTCAATTGACGATTTTCCTTTTCACTTCGCTATTTGCACTTTTCATTTGGAACTTACATCACTATCGACGCCATTTTATGGACGAAACTAACGACAAACGACCAGAGCCAAACGCGTCGCACACTCAACTAAGCAACACTGGAAAATGCGCGACTCGACCTAGTCTAGCCCAGAAACTATTTGCGCTCAAGAGCAGCGGCGCAGCTGCTCGATTGGGGAAACTTACAGCTAGTTTACTGGCAGCGAGCGGCGACGCTAGATAAGCCAAAAGCGCTCAAATAGAAACGCAAACTACAAAAAAACTAGTTGAGCGAGCTGCCAAATGGAGCTTTTTGAGTGAAAGCTGCAGACGGCAATAGTTGTGCGATCACTATTGAGCATATATGCATGTGTGTGTAAGTGTGTGGTTGTGTGGTTGTGTGCGTGCGTTTGATAGATGTGACAGAGAACAAGTTGGGCAGGCATCTTAACTGAAATCTCTAGCGCTTGTTCTCATTTGTGAGACACATACATACATGCGTGTATACAAAGTAGTGATTGAGCTTGTTGTTTTTGTGTGTTATTTTCGACTTTGGCTTGAGGTAAACGACCGAATGTCCGACACCCAATGACTAGGTTAAGGTGAAGGTCAAATTAGCAAAAAAATGCTATAAAACAACAACAAAGCAACGACAGCAGCAGCAGTAACCGCGGCGGCGACTGCGACTTCGACTGCGACAGCGACTGCGGCGCGCACCAACAATAGAAATCAACTTTGTCAGCGATAAAGCGATCGAGCAGCTAAAATAACACGAAAAACAATAACAACAGTAAAGCAAACCCAAAAAGCAAAGAGGAGAAGAAATTGAAGCGTAGACAAACGTGACCACGCGCTGGCTGGCAGGCAGGCAGGAAGACACAGGAGCACACAGACACACACGCACACATTCATTGAAAGTTGAACTTCAGACAACAACAAGTTTAGCATACTAGCAGACATCCAGACGGAGGAGAAGGACAGATAGACAGACAGTTGCAGTTGTCTTTTATTTGTGTCTGAAGAGTCGCCCGCATCGTGAGCCCCCTGCCACCATTATCAACCCAGTCATAGAACAGTCGCAAAGTCTCTGCTGAGCTCATCCAGGCAACCGGCAACCAGAACCCAATTCTAATTTTTGCGTGGTGTGTCTATATGCCGAAATACTCACGAGCGCACATACATATACATATGAAAGTATATATGTGTGAAAGATAGACAGACGCCAACAAAGGAAGCAAACAGACACAGACACATACATGTACGAAATCTATACACTGCAAAAACGTGCACTGAGTCTTTGTATTTGTATACGTATTTGTATCTGCGTCTGCGCCTGTGTCTCTGGTGCTGCCCGTTTGAAAGTGTTTGTTGAACGCCACGCGTTTGCTCGCTGGGTCTCTCGCTCTCTTACTCACACACACACATAAAGAGAGAGGGACCAACAATAGAGCGCGAGAAGCTTTTTCTGCAATCTAATGGCGCATTGGTTTGGCCTCAGCTGCTGTTTCCCTCACACTCGCGCACGTATTATGCCTTTAGCTAGCAATATTGCCGGCAGCAGCAGAGACAGCAGAATTAGAAGCAGAGCCAGAGACGTTGAACGCAAGACCTTGAACTTGGACTCAATTTACGAGTTGAAAAATTGGGTTTTGTTATGAATTGTTTGTATGTCGTTGTAGTATTCGCCTCGCCTTCTCTCGGTCATAGCAAGCTTTACGGGTTTCTAATGCACAACAGGCACAACAAACAGATGTCATTCAATTACATTTAATTAGTCTAATCGTCTAATTAATAGACAAATCAGGTGTGCGTAAATTTAAACAAAGCCTAACTCGGGCTGCATAAAACATGTGCAACAAGCTTGCTGCAACTGCATGCGGTTGCATACTCATGTTGTTGTGGCTGTTGTTGCTGTTCCCCTTCCACAGCAGACATTTGCCGGCATCTGTCTAGCCTTTGTCTAGCCCACTAGCACACACACAGATAGAGAGAGAGACGCGCACACATGTAAGCACACACTCGCATGTGCAGACAGGGCTGTCCCACTCCACTTTGTTTTTGTAATGGTCGTCGTCATCGTCATTGCCAGCGTCGTCATCGTCGTCGCCGTCGTCGCCGTCGTCGTCATCGTCGTCTCTCGTTCTAGTTTTTACATAAAACTTTCGCTTTCGCTGCTGTGCTGTGGCTGCTTGACTATGTGTGCATGTATCTATGTATGTGTGCGTGTCTGTCTGTTTGAATGTGTATATGTGAGTGTTTGTGTGGGTGTGTTTTTGTTTGTGTGCGGACGTTAGATTTTACATTTGACCGGCATTATGTGTGTGAGTGGGTATGGTAACTGAAGGAATGAGAGAAGCCAAAACAAAACCAGGAGACCGACAAATGGTAGGCACACACACACAGGGTGTCTGTTGACTCGTGTCTCCATCTGTCGGCAACAAGTGGCGATGTGTTTGTGTGTCTATCTCTATGTCTACGTCTATGTCTCTCTGTCTGCGGGTGGGACTGACCTTGTTCAATGAGCGCTCTGTAAACAAGCATCGCCCTCTGCCCCACCTTCTAAGCGCTCTACTTATCTGCGCGAAGTGGAATTCGCGTTGCCAAGCGGCTTGGCGAGCAGAGCCAACTGATAGAGAACTACTAGAGGAGACTCGTCTGTTGGTCTGCCCTGTGTGTGTGTGTATACAGAACTAACGCAGTTAAAGCTAACCTTGAAATAGCAAACGCCGCACACATGGCGAACAGGCCAAGCGAAGCAAAGTGAAAAAGAGAGCAGACAGAAGTGCACCATATACAAAGAGAGAATACAGATACCCTGTAAATAGATAGAAATATGTATATAGTAGACTACAACAACTTATGTATGTACATATGTATGTATGTGCAATGTAGTTAAGCTAGAATATGTGGAAAGCAGCACAGAGTAATCCAGTTCGATAGAAATGCACACACACACAAGCATATGTGAATCTATTGTGAATGATATAATGAAACATAGTTTAGTTTCCAACCGAACAAACTACTTGTCTATCTAATCTCATTTGTTTGGCGTTGCTGCTTTTTTCGCGCATTCAACCGAATAATTGCTTCATACGCACACACACACACGCACACTCGCAGACAAATTTGCAAAAAAAAATTATGAGGAAAAAAAACTGCAACACCAAAAAAACGGGCAGAAGAAATAAAAAAAAAAACATTTTTTCTAGAACTATTTTAAAAGCTGTTCGTCCAGCAGCGACTGCGACTGTGTCTGCGGCAGCGGCAGCGTCGACGAAAACTCTCTTCCTCTCCCGTTCCCTTTCGTTCTTTCTTGCTGGCGTAGAGTGCGCAGCGAAATGCGCCAAACACAATTTAATAATAATACAGCAACAACAACAAATACAGCGCAAAAATGTAGTATTTAGCCTTGAAAGTTCGTAAGCACTACGAGCGAAGATCTTTTATTTTATTTTATTTTGTGTTTTTTTTCGGACAAAAAGTCACATTAAATACAATTCGAAATGGATCGAAAAAGCACAACAGATCGAAGAATCGAATTAAAACAATCTTAGCGAAGCTGACGAAAGTGAGTGTACTATGTATGCACATGCTAGTTGGCTTGAAGAGTTGAAAGTTTCGAGTTCGTATTCGAATTCTGTCAGATCGGAATCCTCACGAATACGAGTCGAAATATAAAATACAGCAAATGGATATATTTTATTCAATTTTCTATATTTGAATGCTCTATAACTAAGCAGCTGCTGGGCCACGGTCACGGTCACACGGTCCCCTGCCGAGGCTTCCCCTTGCCATTGTGTGGCGCTGTATTTGCTTGCTCTTATTTTTTACGTAAAATGATTTGGCTTGCATTAGAAACTTGAGTCTTTCCCACCATTTGGCCCACCGGCGGGCTCCACTTCGAATGAATTGCAATTGCAATTGTAATGCGATAGTTCACAAAGAGAGATGGAGACATGGAGAGAGAGAAGCAAAGGCGCTAATTACGAATTTGTTGCTCGTAATGGTAATTAGATGCGAGACATACACATTATGTACATATATATGTATGTATATATATATACATATATATATATTTATATGTATATATGCCGGTTGCTAGTTGAAAGTGTCAAAAGTTGCTCAGTGGGAAAGCAAAACTGTTAATCGTTCAGCCTGTTAGTTTATTTGTTTGTCTCTTCTATGCATGTATGCATGTACAGACATGCATACACATGTAGGTATATATATCTGCCTATTCATTTTGTTAATATTAGTCAGCGTTAGCGTTGGCGTCAGCTTCAGCGTCAGCGTGAGCGTCAGCGTGAGCGTCAGCGCAGTGGCTGCGTCGTCGACCGCAACGGAGTTTTGTTCTATGCACAAAAGTCACACACACAGATGTATACACATACTATAAACTAAGCGCGAGCGTGAGAGAGAGAACGCAGAAGAAAGAGAGGGTGAGAGATCGAGAGTCACAAATTTAATACTGGACTGTGCCAAAACTTTATTTGGCACTGCTTCTATACATATAAGTATATATATATATATATATATATGTATGTATGTATGTATGTGTATGTGTATGTGTATGTGTGAGTGCGTCGCTGCTGCAGCAGTACCAGTAGTCTGTCTCTGTGTGTGTGTGTGTGTCTGGGTTCGGTCTGGTCCGCCGCTGAGCATATTTCGTAGTGGTGGGAATTGAAAGCACAAGCACACATTCTAATACTCAAGTTCAGGTTCAATTCACTGTGTGCTCCCCCCACCACATACATATGCATACGCACAGATCATATGCATGTGTGTTCATGCATTTGCACACACACATATACATATACATTGAAATTCCTGTCCCTGTCTGTCTACCTGACGATCCTAGCATTTGACTGGCTAGGGATGGGGCTGGGATCGGGGGATTGGGACTGGCCAGAACAGCAACGACGCAACAGAGCGTGCGCACGTTTGTTGTTGTCCCGTTCTCTCTCCCGCTCTCTCGCACACACACACACTCACAGGCGCGGCTGCTGCTGTTGCCAAAATTTCAGTGAATAGTTTAGTGTTTTTTTTGTTTGTTTGTGTGTGCTTTCGACTGCCGTCGCCCCTGTCCCTGCCCAATGCGCTTTTTTGTGCGCTATCGCTGCTGCTGTTGCTGCTGCTGCTGGTGCTGCTCGCAGTCGACGCTGCCGTCGCTGCCTGGCTGCCTGAGGCACTCGAGCACTCTTCTTCTTTAGCACGAATTCAGTTGAGTTTCTACGCTTGCAATCATCAAACGCAACAAAAAGCCCAACACGCTGGTTGGCCGCCGACTGCTGCTTTCCCAGCGTTCCCGTTCTCAGCGTTTCAGTTCACTGGAAGTGAGCTTCCAGCACAAGACATTTCCAAGCGATCCTGCAATCGTCGCTAACGCAATGCAGCTCAGCTTCCAACTCGACTCCAATATAAATATACAAACGCATAGATACAATACATGCATACATGCATATGTGTAGACATAAATACATATATATATATATATATATATATATATAAATAAATATATATACACGCATACATATGTAGCTAAATAGTTTTTAGTGCGTGCTCGGTCGGTCGTTCGGTTCGGTTCGGTAATTAATAAGTGTGTGTTTTTTATTATTTTTTTTACATTTTATTTTTATTTGATTGTTTCGTTCAGTGCCAATGTTATTTGCATTTAACGTCTAAGCCAAGATCTCAAGTCAGAAGCGAATAGCATTTCTTAATTACCATATTACGTATACGCAAACAAATTTCTACCTCAAATCAAACCAAGCCAAAGCAAATACAACAACAAAAAACGACAAAAACACAGAATCTAATATCAATAAAAAACAACAAAATGTTTGCTGTGCGAAACTCACCTACAATAAATTGCACACATAATAATAATCTATTTCTGTTGGCATTCGCAACACTAATGAACTATTAAAACTTACAAACATACAAGCACATATATATACATATGTGCAGATCTTGTTATTAGGATGCCAGTAGCTGAGCACCCAGTCGGAAGGTATGTACTCTAAATGATGCAGCTTGAAAGTGCGCCTTCTGCATTTCATATAGAATTGAGAGAGCGCAACCACACATAACTACATATACACTCACATAGTAACTGTAGTCGTCGTTGCTGTCTATTTTTAGCATAGCTAAAAAGTGCAACGCACACACTCGCAAGCACGCCTTGACTTATTATCTGATAGTTTTCACTTTCAATGTCATGCATACACATACATATACACACTCATGAGCAAGCTTTTTGCGTGCGTGTGTTTGCCTTGCTCTGCTATCGTAGTGATACATGCGAGAGAGAGCGAGCAAGCGAAAGAACAGAAGAAGAAGAATAACTATCCTTTGCTAATTGAAACAAAGACAATGAAAAAGACAACGAGAAAGAGAAACAGATCAAGCAGCATAAAGCCGAAACCCCAAATGCGAAATGCGAAATGTGAAAAGCGAAAAGCACATCGAAATTTGTGCACTACAAGTGTTTTAGTTATTTGCCATGCGTTTGCTAAAATTTTTGCGCTTGGGGTGCTTTTTTGCTGTTGATGTTGTTGTTTTCTCTTTTGCTTTTGTTCTGCAGTCGTTATGAGTGAAAAGAAAACATACAAAATTAAATTGTACTCGTTTTAATTGTATTTAGTCTCTTTTGCTGCTGTCGCGTCTTCTTTTTGCTTGGTTAGTTTTTTTTTGGTTTGTTCTTTGATTTAGTTTTATTTCGTTTCATTTTTGTTTCTATGTCACACAAATTGTCGCCGTGGTTTGGATAAATTTTAAATTGCATTTGTTAACAATTTTCGAACATTTATGCAAAATGTTGCATTTGTTGCACTTTACCCAGCGTTAAATTCAAAACAAGCAGCAAAAAAATTTACCCCACCTCTCGCACTCTCTCTCTCGATCTCCCTCTGATACATACTATTGCCGGCAAATGCGAATGTGTGCGCGCGCGCATGTGTGTGTGGAGGCAAACTGAACGAATGCGCAAAAATACAGTTTTTGGCTATCAAAACAAGTCAAACGAGTTGTATATATAATTTTTATAGAATAATATAATTAACTTATACTTTTGACACTAAAATTTATGCGATTTAATCACAATTATAATGCTTAGACAATGTAAAAACAAAATTTGTTTAATAAAATAATAAAAAACAAATTCAAATAAACTGAATGCAAATGAAAAGATTTTTGTATTTCTGAAGAAATTAGAAAAAAAACAAAAAAAATATAGTAAACAATATAATATATAAAGAAAATTAATATATAATAATAAATAATAAATATTATAAATTAAAGCTTAAATAGAAATAAAATATATATACATATATAATTAACTAAATAAATAATAATAAATTATTAGTTTAACGAATTCTCGATTCTAATGAATTGCTAATCTAACTGTCTCTTTCTGCTCCTCCCTCTGTCTTTGTATATTTGCAGTTAATTAAATATTAGTGAAATAATAAAAGTGATCATCATCTGCATCATCATCGTCATCGTTGGAGCACACAAAGGGAGCAGCAGCAACAACAACAAATACCCCAAGCAGTGCGTGTGTGTGGGCGTGCATCTGTGCATGCGTGCGTGTATGTGTGCGTATGTGAGCAGCAAACGCAGCAGCAGCCACAGAGAGCAGAATATAGTTTTCCCCTCGGTGCAATAAAAAGCCGCCAAAATACGCAAAAAGGTGACCACGAAGAAAGCCAGCGTTGTTTTTACAGTTGACGAAGATAACAACAACAACAACAACAACAACAACAGCAACAACAACAACAGTAGCAACAACTACAACTACAACAACGCTAGGCAGCTAAAAACAACAACAACAACAACAAGAATCCCAACTCCTACAACAGCCGCAATCGAGCTAAATAACTGTTACACAGCAGCAGCAGCAGCATCATCAGTTGAAGAAGAGGAAGAACAAGAAGAACAAATCAACATGGACGAAACACAACATTTCTGTCTGCGATGGAACAACTATCAGAGCAGCATCACATCGGCATTCGAGAATCTTCGCGACGACGAGGACTTTGTCGACGTGACGCTCGCCTGCGAGGGACGCAGCATAAAAGCGCATCGCGTCGTCCTCTCTGCATGCAGCCCCTACTTCCGCGATCTGCTGAAGGTGAGTTTACACTGCATCCCGAATACCCTACAATCGATCAAATAGAGTCCAGACTGAGGAGTTATATAACTAGGAATGCCAGAAGTTGGGACTACTAAAACGAGAAAAGCTTTACGTTCCAGCCTTTCTTTTGGATTTTTGATCTGATCTGATCTGACTCATTAAGGGGCTGGCCAGATAAGGAAGGGTATAAAGACTTCGGCACGGCATTTGTCATTGATTTGCCAATTACTTTGCTTCCGTTGCTTGGGGTGCCATAGGGCAGATCTTTTTGGATCTGGTATCTGTGCATGAGTTTCTTTTTTTTACTTTTTGTGTTTCGCAACTCGAAATACATTTTGGTGACCTACTTAGCCCAGACAATAAGCACGATAAGGAGTGTGGCGACAGCAAGAAAGAGAGCGAGAGAGAGAGAGAGAGAGAGAGAGTGCACATCTCTGCTGTCTTTTGAATACATCCTGTTTGAGATCTATATAACTCACATATATATATTATATATATATATATATATATATTTATATAGCTTTTCTATATATTGTATGTGTGTATTTGTGCATTACTCATACGCAGCGTTGATCAAATAAGACTCTCACCTGGCGCTGTCGCTGTTGTTGCGGCCCAGTTTTAATGACAGCCTAATTAATAAAACGATGACTACACACGCACACATGGAGAGGGAGTGTGTGTGTGTGTGAGAGTGAGCGAGAGAGAAAAGTCAGTTGACTTCTGTGCGAATGCGAATGTTGCAAGAGTTTTGTTTGCTTGCAACGTTTCGTGCGCGCGGTGTAAACTGTTAAGGCAAAAAGTTCTTAGCTGTGCATTTAGCTAAAAAATATGATGGCAGTCTGCAGGAGCGAGGCGGGGGGCGTGGCTGGGCTAGGGAGCGACCGTCTTCTGTTTGGTTTTAATTTATTTAGTTGCGCAACAACTATAACAACTATAAGTATAACAGGCAACAACTAAAGAAGAAGCAGCAGCGACGACAACACGCCAAATGTCGACAAATGCCTGCAACAATGTGTGGCATGGGGCAGCGAGCATAGCGAGTTGCCGGCGTACGGTACAGTCGAGGCCACTGCAAAAACTTCCAACTGCAACTGTCTTAAAGCAGGCAATTATTTGAGTAACATGTGACTGGACCACGAGCCCAAACAACGTTCGTCTAACGGACCAGCAGCTCGACTTGTAAATGGGGCTACCATGCAGTTGTAAGCTGGTCACAGGGTATTCTTGGGGAGCAAGTGCAGGCAGCACGAGCTCATTCATATCTACTTGATCGATAGGCTCTGCTGAGGCGATCTGTGCTATAGAGAGTCGCAGTGGAGGTATTTACTGGTCGGGCATACTTCGTGCAGTCCGTCCATATATATACCTGATCAATTGAGTTTTCTCTCTCTCTCTCTCTCTCTGTGCCTTGATCTGTCTGTTCGTTCAGCAAGAGAATAACGGGTAGGGTATTTACTAGTCGGGCAAGCTTCATATCCATCAGTTGAGGCGATCTGTCTCTGCCTCTTTCTATCTGCTTGTCCATCTGGAGGTCGCGTGTCGCTTTACTGGGTATCTGTTAGTCGTTCACACTCGATGCGAGCAATCGTACTTGTTTTTATTATGACATTAAAATTATGGAAGTCGTTGCCTCGTTTACCTGTCCGCCAAAAGAAGAAAACAAAAAACAAAAACTTGTGACTGCATTGAAAATATTTGCACGCAATTGCGGTTTTTAGCAGGCCTCGAGACTTGGTTGCCCCTGGCCCCTCCCTCTCACTCTCCCAGTTGCCTGCCAAAAACTTTGCCATTTGCATTGTTTGAGCTGTCATCAGGTTGGAGTTTGGGGTTTGGGGGGTTAGTTGGGTTAGCGAGTTGGTTAGTGAATTGATTAGTGGTTGTGGTTAGTGGAAAAGCCTTTGCCTTTGCCTTTGCCTTTGCCTTTGCCTTGCCTTGCCTTTGCCTTTGACTTTGCCTTTGCCTTTGCCTTTGCCTTTGCCTTTGCCTTGCTTGCCTTTGCCTTTGCCTTTGCCTTTGCCTTTGCCTTTGCCTTGCTTTGCCTTTGCCTTTGCCTTTGCCTTTGCCTTTGCCTTTGCCTTTGCCTTTGCCTTTGCCTTTGCCTTTGCCTTTGCCTTTGCCTTTGCCTTTGCCTTTGCCTTTGCCTTTGCCTTGCTTTGCCTTTGCCTTTGCCTTTGCCTTTGCCTTTGCCTTTGCCTTTGCCTTTGCCTTTGCCTTTGCCTTTGCCTTTGCCTTTGCCTTTGCCTTTGCCTTGCCTTTGCCTTTGCCTTTGCCTTTGCCTTTGCCTTTGCCTTTGCCTTTGCCTTTGCCTTTGCCTTTGCCTTTGCCTTTGCCTTTGCCTTTGCCTTTGCCTTTGCCTTTGCCTTTGCCTTTGCCTTGCCTTTGCCTTTGCCTTTGCCTTTGCCTTTGCCTTTGCCTTTGCCTTTGCCTTTGCCTTTGCCTTTGCCTTTGCCTTTGCCTTTGCCTTTGCCTTTGCCTTTGCCTTTGCCTTTGCCTTTGCCTTTGCCTTTGCCTTTGCCTTTGCCTTTGCCTTTGCCTTTGCCTTTGCCTTTGCCTTTGCCTTTGCCTTTGCCTTGCCTTTGCCTTTGCCTTTGCCTTTGCCTTTGCCTTTGCCTTTGCCTTTGCCTTTGCCTTTGCCTTTGCCTTTGCCTTTGCCTTTGCCTTTGCCTTGCCTTTGCCTTTGCCTTTGCCTTTGCCTTGCCTTTGCCTTTGCCTTTGCCTTTGCCTTTGCCTTTGCCTTTGCCTTTGCCTTTGCCTTTGCCTTTGCCTTTGCCTTTGCCTTTGCCTTTGCCTTTGCCTTTGCCTTTGCCTTTGCCTTTGCCTTTGCCTTTGCCTTTGCCTTTGCCTTTGCCTTTGCCTTTGCCTTTGCCTTTGCCTTTGCCTTTGCCTTTGCCTTTGCCTTTGCCTTTGCCTTTGCCTTTGCCTTTGCCTTGCCTTTGCCTTTGCCTTTGCCTTTGCCTTTGCCTTGCCTTTGCCTTTGCCTTTGCCTTTGCCTTTGCCTTTGCCTTTGCCTTTGCCTTTGCCTTGCCTTTGCCTTTGCCTTTGCCTTTGCCTTTGCCTTTGCCTTTGCCTTTGCCTTTGCCTTTGCCTTTGCCTTTGCCTTTGCCTTTGCCTTTGCCTTTGCCTTTGCCTTTGCCTTTGCCTTTGCCTTTGCCTTTGCCTTTGCCTTTGCCTTTGCCTTTGCCTTTGCCTTTGCCTTTGCCTTTGCCTTTGCCTTTGCCTTTGCCTTTGCCTTTGCCTTTGCCTTTGCCTTTGCCTTTGCCTTTGCCTTTGCCTTTGCCTTTGCCTTTGCCTTTGCCTTTGCCTTTGCCTTTGCCTTTGCCTTTGCCTTTGCCTTTGCCTTTGCCTTTGCCTTTGCCTTTGCCTTTGCCTTGCCTTTGCCTTTGCCTTTGCCTTTGCCTTTGCCTTTGCCTTTGCCTTTGCCTTTGCCTTTGCCTTTGCCTCTGCTTTTCCCTCTGCCTTTGCCTTTAGCTGTGCCCTTGCCTTTGCCATTGCAGCAGAAATTATATAAATTACAAAGTTCTCAGTTCTTAGTTTTGTTGCTTGAGTTGGTAAATATTCGCTCTGCGACGTGATTTGTTAACATGATAGAAAACTTTAGTTTTGTAAAATTTTTTAGACGCAGCCAGACAAATGAACAACGCAAACTGGAAAGTAGGAACAACTTTGAGAAAGAGGTAGTGGGGGAGAGGGGGAAGGTTGGGGCGCTCCGTTTCTTTTGGAGCATTTAGTGGCATCGACGTTGGCTAATGGTTGGCGGCATTGCTTTGCAGCTGACAATACGTCAACCTTTTTGAGTATATATACCTTGGCATATTGTGTATACGACACGGTGTACCCAGCTACGCCAAGCTTTACAAGCTGTCCGGCCAATAAATTTCGCAGAAACTTTCAGCCAAATGCTGAAACTACGACTATGATAATGAAGCACAACAACAAGAACAGACAAACAGACAAGTAGACAGGCGGAGAGGCGGGCATACAGACAACAGAAAGTCGTCATTTAATTTGTTAAAAAGGCCAACTAAATTCGCAGCAAACTGCAACTGCAACAATGCCAGCAACGAAGGAACAAAAAAAAATGAGACGCGAAGAAAAAGAAGAAGAAGAAGGAGAAAATGCTAAAATAATTATATACCAAGAAATTAGTACAAAAACTTTGTTGGCAGTGCAACAATACGAGTCAGCCAGAAGTTTGTAAATTCAATTTGAAATACATACAACAACGACGACAACAACAACAACAACAACAAAGACACAAACAGACATGCTAGCTAAGGTCCAGCCTCTGCTTGAGTCCGGCTCCGGTTTGGCGACACTTTGCCACTTTGCTCTGTGTCCATCTGCGTCTCTCTTTCTCTCTCTCTCTTTCTGTCCCTCTGTCTCTCTTGATCTCTTGTTGGCGCCGCCTTGTGCCTATGCATAAATATTTAATTAACTGCAGCGCATTATTTTAATTAGGTGTAAAACTGCAAAGCACACACATAACAACAGCAGCAGCAGCAGCAGCAGCAGCAGCAGCAGCAGCAGCAGCAGCAGCAACAGCAACACAAAATAAAGTGCTCTCGGCAGTGGAGGCAATCGGGGTTGGAGCAGGGGAGCGTGAGTTAAGCGCTGCTAAAAGCATTTTGGCTATTGTTCAACTGCGAATTGTGAACTGTTAACTGGAAAACTGTTAACTGAAAACTGTCTGCTGCCACGCCCATTTAGCAAACACACTCAATTTGCATTTGGCTCGCAGCTAAAGGCAACGGCGGCAAAGACTCCTTCGACTGCCCTCTTGTACCCAGTGGCCTTAACTGCTTCTCTATAGCGTCTTTGTTGCGGCAGATCAAACTGTCTGTTGCCAAACGGTTTCTCTAAGCGAATCTCTCTGTCTCTGTCTCTTTCTCTGCCTCTGTCTCCGTCTATTTGACTGCGACAATATCTGTTTCCAGCTGGGATCATTTGATCTTAAAAACGAAACGCGCCTTCTAAGCAAATCTCTGTCTCCCTCTCCCCCTCTCTCTCTCTCTCTCTCTCTCTCTCTCTTTCTCTCTCTCTCTGTATCGATATCTCACACTCTCTCTCTCTCTCTTTTTTCTATTCATATCTTCTGCTCTCTCCCTCTGACTGTTTCTCTGAGCAAATCTCTGTCTGTGCCTGCTCGTTCCCTCTCCCTTTCCCTCTGTCCTTATCTCTATCTGCACTTGTTAGGCTTCTCTCTTTGGCATAAACTCGCTGTAGGTGCTCGTTTGGGATGTGACGATCACTTGATCGCTGCCGTCTTGACCTCAATTTCACAATCTGCCTCTGTCGCAGGCCCTGCCTCTGCCGCTCTTTGTGTATCTTGCGATTATACTTACATATGTGCTTACATATATACACATATATACATACATACATACATATGTGTATGTCTTACATTGGCGAATGTGAAAATAAATTGCGATATAAGTAAATAAAACAGAGGAAGATAGAGAAAGGCAGTTGACGGGAGATTTAGACGGAGACGAAGACGGAGAGGGAGGCGGAGGCGGAGGCGGAGGCGGAGACAGAGCATGTAAAGACAAGGCAGACGCTGGTATATAGGATCGTGGCTGATGCTGAGACTTAGTTGAGGTTGGGGCTGGGGTACAGGGGCTGGAACTGAAACTGGAACTGGAACTGGAGGCGCAATGCGTGCAATCGAAATAATAACAAAGACGCCGTAACTTGACCTAATTTTGAGGGTCTTTGTTGGCTTTTGCCACTCGGATGATAAAGTGAAATTTACACACAACTGTAGATTGGGGTATGGAGGGGCAAATGGGGTCAGCTGACAGTAGTTTGCATGCTGTGTGCATGTGCGTGCTTAAAAGCAGAAGGAGGAGCTGCAGCTCGTTTGACATTCAGGCAGTAGCTGAAGGTTATTAAGACTGACTCGATCTAAATATATGCTTTTGCTTACTCCACAGAGCACACCCTGCAAACATCCGGTCATCCTGCTGCAAGATGTCAACTTCATGGATCTGCACTCGCTGGTGGAGTTCATATACCACGGCGAGGTCAATGTGCATCAGAAGTCGCTGCAGTCCTTCTTAAAGACCGCCGAAGTGCTGCGCGTCTCGGGCCTAACACAGCAGCAGGCCGAGGACACGCACAGCGTAAGTACAGTAGCTCCTCGATGTACGAGCTTAGCTGATTATTTTCCTCTCTTTTGTTGTCGTTGTCGCTGTGTAGCACTTGGCACAGATACAGAATTTGGCAAATGCGGGCATACGCACGCCGCTCAACTCACATCCACATCATGGTTCGTCGTTGCACGATGATGGGGCTGCCACATTGTTTAGCAGCCGCCAGGTCGGTGGCTCGCCGCCGCCTCCACCGCCGCCGCAGCAGCTGCCACAGCATATCAATAACAATCTGCTGAAGCGCATGGCCATGATGCATCACACCAGCGGCGTCGTGGACGAGACAACATCGCACGCCCTCAAGCGTTTGCGTAGCGTCGACAACAACAACGGCCTCTCTGCCAACAGCAACAACAACAGCAGCCCCGATCTGCAGCTCCATGCGCGCAGCGCCTCGCCCCAGCTAACGCCGGCCGACTTTAGCACGATCAAACACCACAACAACAACAATACGCCGCCGCTCAAGGAAGAGAAGCGTACGTACAGCAGCCGGACAGAGCGTTCCGCGCCTCTTAGACTCTTAGTCATGGCATCAGTTCTCACTTCTCACTTTTCCACTGCAGGCAATCGGTCCACCGGCAATGGCAACTCGGGCAACGGCAACAACAACACCAATGGCAACGGCAACGGCAATGGAAATGGCAACGGGATCTCTATCAGCGAGAAACTTGGCAGTATGACACCCTCGCCGCTGACACGGGGCGTCGAGGACGTTAAGTCGGAACCCATGGAGCTGGTCTGCTCCAACAACAACAATGCCAACGCCAATGTCAATGATGAGCACAGCAACGATTCCACAGGCGAACACGATGCCAATCGTTCCAGCAGCGGCGACGGCGGCAAAGGCTCCTTGAGGTAACTATATATAGTATATATATACATATATAAATATGTATAATATGCGTAGCCCATGTGAAGCAAGTCCATAGGCCATAGGGTTGAGGTTCCGGGTATCTGCGAGTCGGACAATCCCGACTGGAGCACTCTTGCTTATTGAATTATATATTTAATCGTTTGCGTTCCTTTCTTTCGCTAGCTCTGGCAATGACGACGAGATCAACGACAACCTAGCCACCCATCATGCCGCACAGCCCTTCATCATGTCACCGGCTGAGAGCAAACTGTTTCCAGGTGGATTCAATTTTCCGATTAGCAATCTCGATCATCCAGCCTTGATTGGTGCGTACCATTACCCCCATTCGCTCTCTTCCACTTTGACTAATCTTCTTCTTCTGCTTCTTCTTCTTGTTCTCCCTGGATTAGGTCTCAATACCCAGCTACAACAATCTGGTGAACTCGCTGTCTCTCCACAAGGTGAGTCCGAGCATTTCTCTATTTACTCTATTGTTTCGCTCTATTTGCGCTCAAAAGCTCATTATTACATTTTTTACATCAAATGCAAATACCAAAAAAATCAAAAAATCTAGAATCAAAAATATCAAAAAAAAAAAATCAATTTTTTAATGAAAAGGAATTAATAGAAATCCGAATATTTTAACGTTGAAGAAATGTGTCTGTATCATTTGTTTTACTTGATAAAAAAAACATACTTACATACGTACATGCATATAAATCGGCTATATATGTGTGTGTTAACTACAATTTGATTTAACTTTTGATTTATTTAAACACACTTGAACACACGAACACGAATATATATATATTTGATTATATTTATCCATTCCATTCGATTTGATTTCAAAGTAAACCAAGATACGAAACGTCTCATTCAAAGGTGGCCCAGTGCAGAAGCTTACAGGGTATGCCACAGTCTCGCTTGCTGGCGCTTGCTGCTGGGCCGCTTTTCACGTGGACTTTCCTTTTTTTGTTTTTTTTTTTTAATTTTTTATTTTTTTTATAGAATTGCAAAAACACGTAAAAGTCAACATAAATATAAAATATTTTTTTTTATTTCAATTGTTTTTTATTTATTTTTTCTTTCCTTTGCATCTTCAAATCTAATCGGTAAAGTGTAAAAATTTCTTTCTTGTTTGATTGTTTCGATGGTAAATGTTTTCATTTTCGTAATAAAAACGAACTAAAATAAATATAGAACTATAAATATAGAACTACGAAAACAGATGAAGCAGAAGAAGGAGAACAAACAGTATTTAGGCGTCATAAAACATATGTATAACAAATGGCCAATGCTTATGTTGATCATAGTGACAGTGATAATGATCGAAGCTGATCATCATTGAGTTGAGATAATGCAGAAGAATCCAAACATTATTCATCTACGCATAAAAACGGCTAAAAACACTGAACCTGCAACTCCCAGAAAAACCCCCTTAAAACCCAAAGAAACTAGCTAATAACTTTTGATACTTGTGTGTGCGTGTGTGTGTGCGTGTGTGTGTGTGCGTGAATACATTAAACTAATTAACTCAACGAATGAGCATTCGAGGCATCAGCAGTGTTTAGCAAAATAGACTGTGTTTTCCCGTACGTGTGTGTGTGTGAATGTGGCGGAAAATTTTAATTGCCTCTGTTATCCTGAGGTTTGGCCACAACAATTTGCCACGCCCCCATCTCCGCCGACCAACACCGTCAAACCGTCTAACTGTGAAGCGTGTTCGTAAAAGCTTTGCGGCTTTGCGGCCTGCCCCGCCCACCACCGCCACAACATGAACGACACACGAACAACTATGCGTACAGTGCGAACAGTGGCGCCCAAAATATTAGCATTACTCTGCAAAAGTGCGCTTGAATGATTGGCGGAAAATGCAATTGTTTACAAAGTAAACAGTTAGTTGAAAGGGCCTCTTCTCTTCTTGTTTGATCGAATGGTCGTTGTGTTAACAGTGGGTGAAAAAGGTATAGTCAAGACTTTTAATATAACATTATTGTGTTATATGCATATGTAGATGGATTCTTTACCATGGCTGGTGGACCAATACTTTGTTGACTCACTGTACAGTACTCAGCGCGTAGATAGATAATTTGTGAAGCTGCGAGGAGGATGGGGAGGAGCTGGAGGAAGTAGGAGACCAGCAAGTAGCAGAAGTCGAAGGTACATTGCAGGCATTAGCTCAGTCACATTGATGGGGGCTTGGTTCAGTGTTGGGGCCGCTTTTATTGCTTTTCGAAGAGAAGTGTGTTTTCGAAATTTCAAGTTCATTTGGCTTACTTCATGTCCATACATGCTAAATCAGTATCAGCAGTAAGCGATAAGCGATAAGCGATAAACGATATACGATATACGATACACGATACACGATATTTTCAATATATGTCATAAAGCAACATCGCTTTTCTCTCTCTCTCACACACACATACATACACACACATACACACACACTATATCACATTTTCTCTTTAATTCCCGCTCTCTCACACTTTCTCGTTCTCACAATTCGTTAAACGTATATCGACATTCAAATGCAAGTCGATTCCAATTGGATATCTCTAATCAGATCTAATCAGATGAGCTAAGCATCGGCTAAGAGTTAAGCAGAAAATATATGTGTATGTTCCTTATATATTTGTTTTCTCAACATTTGTCATTTGTTCATTTTCAATGAGTCCATTTCTTCGTTTTACGTTTCACGTTTCACGTTTTACGTTCCTTCGTTTATTTGTGTGCTAATTTTGTATTCGTATTTAAACGCAATAATAAACCAATTACATATTACCGTACTATACTATACAACACACACTCCCTCACACACACACACACACACATATACTTGCATACATACATATACACCTGCATACGTCTTATTTATGCTCCATATACATACATATGTATACCTCTATTGATTGTTTACTTAATAATGCTAATTAGAAAACATGTTTAATTTTTATCGTTTTCTTAATGTTTCAATTTCAATTTGAATTTCTGTTTCCTTTTTGGTTAATCGTTAGAGACAGAGAGAGAAAGGAAGCGAGAGGGAGAGAGAAGGAAAAAGAGAGATGGATAGAGATGGACATAGATTTCTGTTTCCTTTTCAGTTAAGCGTTAGAGAGGCAGAAAGGAACAGAGAGAGGAAGTGAGAAGAAGATAGAGGGACAGAGAGGTGAAGAGGGGGAGGGAGATACAGATAAAGAGATAGATTTAAAAAGATAAAGAGATAAAAATATAGAGGGATAGATAGAGAACTAAAAAGATAAATAGGAATGGTGAATAGCTTAAAAGGCAGAGAGTTAGAGAGATAGAAAGAGATCGAGAATGATGGAGACAGAGAGATAGACGCCAAACGCATCATGGAAATATATAGAAATAGGATAGATAATTGAGACATGATCGTTATTTTCAGTTCAATTCCATTCGTTCCTTTGTTTCATACACACATCAACAACAACAACAACATTTGTGTTTAGTTTCTGTTTTTCTGTTATTTTTGTTGGTAAAATGCAACCGCATTATAAGATCGATCGAATATATATATATACATAAATACTTATATATATTATGTATTGACATTTTTTAATTTACTTTTGTACGTCGTCGTGCTTGTGTCTAAAACTAAGTATACCAAAATTGTCCAAAGCCCCAGCTCCTGCGCCCCCTTCCCCCGTAACTCCTCCCATATAAGATCCATATATATTTTTACAACAGCAAAAGCAAAAGAAAAGCTCCAATTCAATTATATGTATTTGCATTGAAAACTAATCCTTTAAATGATAACCCAAAAAAGAAACCAAAAAAAGAAATAAACAAAATACAATTATATCAAAAATCTCTATATATATAAATTGCAACATTATTTTTAATGTGTCTTTCGTTGAATTATTTCAATATTTCGATTTTTTCTTTTCGAATTTTTCGTTTCGATTCGATTTTTCAAATATGGCTTCAAAATTGTCGAACAACAAATTTTCACCCTGAATATGATGCGAAATGAAAAAGCAAACTACAAATATACCACTCACACACACCCACTCACATACATACACACACACAGATATCCATGCATCTGTATGCATGTATGCATGCATGTTTGTCTGTATGTTTGTGTGTGTGCGCGTGATCTTCTCCCCTTATGAACATTTACGTATTCATCCTTTGGCATAACACATATGTATGTACACACATACACGCACACACACATATACACCTACACGCATACATGCATACATATGTACATACGCCTTATGTATTGGACCCATGAAACCCCCGCCCAACCCCCACACCCCCAATTTGAAGCCTGAGAATTTGCTAAGTACAAATACAGAAGCGCACACAGACTGCCCCAATAATTTGTCGCATTTGTTGTCTGGCAGGCAGCCCAATTGGCTAATTGTTTATGATGTCGAATGTTCTAATTGTCAAACTGTCGAATTATCGAATTGTCGAATTGTTTTATATACAAATACTAAAGCACATATACATGCATAGCCACACCCACTCGTCCACTCGCCCCTTTTCGGGAAGAGGCAGCCCAATTGGCTAATCGTCGAATTGTTGAAGTGTTTAATTGTTATCTATATATATATAAATATATATATATACATTTCTAATATTGGCAAATCATATGTTTTAGTCTGAAATAAGGAAACAGAAATGGAAGAAGCACCTGAGGCACAGCTTTGAACCAACAATTGGCATTTGTATACATATGTAGCTCAGTTGATCCTTCAGCATATAGTGCATATCGTACACACACACACACACACACACATGTGTGTGTTTCTATATGTGTGCACTTTACGTATGTTTGTGTGTATATGGAGAGATATATGCTGTAACGTAAAGTACGCACACCCACACACACACGCCTACATACACACACACACACACATACTGACACACATACATGTATAATTGGTGAATAATTCTTATACAGTTCAGCAGACAACAACAGAAACGCACGCAAATACACACACACGCACACGCGCACACAACATGGTCTTGGTCTCCCCCACGCACAATCGAAAACTCCCTTTGTATTCACATATATATATAGATATATATATATATATATATATATGCATAGATATTTGATAAGACAGGTGAAACTTCAAGTGTTACGTCTATTAGCGATTGTGAGAGGCCTAAGCCCCAATGAAACCGATTCGAAACTCAAATACAAATTCAGCAGGCGCTCGACATCACTTCTAATACATACATACATACCATACATACATTCACACACATACACCTACATACACATACACATACATACATCTTATAATACCCAGCAGCAAAACTAACCCAATGATGATAACTAATGCCTACATATATATATATATATATATATATATATATATATATATATATATATATATATATATATATATATATATATATATATATATATATATATATCTATATATATATATATATACATATAATACATATATCTGTATAT